CATTTAGGGCTCTATGTTAAACTAGGGAAGCAAATGTGTTTGTGTTATAGATACTCTGTTCTTGCAGTTACCTTTCATTTCAATTCCTGGTGCCTCTGAACTAATCAAAGATTGTCACTAATGGAGGAACTGCACATGGAGGGACACACTTTGTCCACTGAAAATCTGGCCCAGTGTTTAATAGATCTGCTCACATGACTCACACTGCATGAGGCCTTACATTTCCAGGTCCCACAGATTGGGGATGAACCAGGGGAGGGGCTATGGTTGCACGCTTTTTAGATCGAAAGGCTGGCTTCAGCAGGCCATGCGTGCCCAGCAGAAAGAGAGAGCAACGGAGTGGTGTAAAAACTCACTGCTTCACAAAATGCTTCGCAGTTTGCTGAAAAAAAGATGTCAAAATCAACACAACATGGATGGTGACATTTCCTAAAAAGGTGGATGTTGGATGAGACAATGATGAATTTTGTCTTGATGCCTCTTCAAAGGCACATGCAACAAAAGTTAGAAGTGTCTGTGGAGTGAAACACACACCCACCTTTACGAGATTCAATATCCTTCATCAGAAATCCGTACTCTTCAACAATCCGATCTTCAATGGCCCTCTTGCCCATTCCAAAGTCTCGTAAGGTCGTGAGAGTAAATCTTCGCATCACTTTCCAGTTATTGCCATGAGAAAAAAGAACACCTGAAGTGGAGGGAGAGCTTCAAGTCAGCAGAATAATTAAAATAAATACTTCTTAGAGATATAACCTTGCACCCAGAACATTCATTTTGATGCGCTAGAGCTATTCAAAAATGGGGGAGGGAAATTTTTTGTCATGAAAATTTTATCTACATTTTTGTCTGTTTTTTTCCATCCCAGTATCATGGACATTTTGAAATGAGAAACATTTCCTCCAGCCTTAGGACAAACCATAATAAATTAACATTTTTTGATACATTACAGTAATTAGAATGTTTTTTGCATGATATGGATTTGCTATGTTTTTCCAGTGTGATCAATTAGATGAAAGAATTTATCTAAGTTCTTTAAATTGTACTTTATAAAACATATTTATTGAGCTTTATAATCACTCAGTCTAGCAAAAACATCCAGAAAAATCAATATGTGGAGCATGGGCCAAATTCAGAGGTCCTACCCAAGGTGGCATCAGTTACATTTCCTTCCTCTCGATCCCTTTGTACTCAATGAAGCCCAGATTCAGGAAGACATCTCTATTTAGTAAAGTATTAAGCACATGCTCAACTTTAAGCATAGAAGTTAAATACGTGCTTAAAGGAAAGAACTTGCTTGCGTATTTTCCCGAATAGGGAAGATTGTCTGCCCGAGACCTATTTACAACCATCCTATGTGGCCTATGATGGTGGCTGAGGACCCAGAAGGGGAGGCAGGGGAAGGTGTAAGTGAAACTAGAGAGGAGACTATTTCCATATTGTCAACCCCAAGCATTAAAAATCACCTGTCAGGTCCCCAAAAAATCATAAGATTTTAAAAAGTAACAATTTTTTAAAAAACAACAAATTGTATGTTCTGTACTTGCCTTCTGGGTTTTCAGTCTTTCAGATTCATATTTTCAAGCTTTTATCTCAACCAGAGCTAGTGTAATAGGGGCTTTCATGGCTGATACAGAGGGGATTAAATCAAGCACCTCCAGTGCTAAAAGCACTAGCAGCTACTGTTTGAGCTAAACAGCCAAGCTACTGTAATTTGGGGTTGTAACAACTCACGTCCTCTATGGAGCAGCACAGTGTGGAACCTGTAACATACTCACCAGCAGGTTCCATTAGAAACTTTTTTTTTTTAAATACAAGCAGATGTTTTCACATGATTCCAGGAGCTGGGGCGTTATGAAAAACACCCAATATCCTGAGGCTCACAACAATATCATGAAAGTCAGCAACGCTGCCATTTCAGTGTCCATCTCCTTACACTTCTGCAACATGTGACTTCAACTTAGTCTCCCTTAGACATGGGCACAGGGGGTATGACTAGTTCTAAGGAACTCGTGGCTCATTCAGGATGTTTCTGCTCTCACTCACGCCACTTTTAGCCTCAAGTCCATGGGCTTCTCTGAAGTTACTCCTAATGTATGCTGATTGACAGACATACTGATCCAAATTGGTATGCCAGCCCCTAAGCCATTCTCTCCCTCCACAGAGAAACCATTCCATTTGTTTGAGTAAGTTAGGCTTATGAGTAACAAGAAAACCGTCACCATATCCTTTTGAAATCTCTTCAAGTACTGGAACTTTAGGTCTCTCTGCAAATGCATCTGCCTGGTTCACAAGAGCCTCCTTCACTGTCTCGTATCCCGCCAGCACCACCATTTTCTGGCATCCCATCTGAATGCTGAAGACTGGGCCATATTTTTTGGACAGCTTAAATGGGGAAGAAAATACAATGACTTAAAGAAAGAAGTGAAAGTCGCAGCTGGTTCAACACTATTTTGCCATCATGACTGAATGTTATTCCAATGTCAAATTATTTCCTACGTGCAGAGAAAAAGAAGCTGTGGTTAGTAATAAGGCTATCATTAGATGTTTTAATTATTAATTATGCTGATAGGCCCAGATCCTCAAAGGTATTTAAGCATATAACTCCCACTGGGTCATAATGCCCTAGGGTGACCAGACGTCCTGATATTAGGGGCTTCATCTTATGTACACAACTAGCTCCCTTCCCCCTCCCCCCCCGAAAAAAACGTGTCCTGATTTTTCAAACTTGCAAGCTGGTCACCCTATAGTTCCCAAAGTGTTCAGTCCGGGCTAGAACTTATTGTGCTAGGTGCTACATATACGGTTATTGTGACAAAGATCTTACAGTCTAAGTCAATCTGTTCAGATGACGAGCATGAAAATATAGGGACAGATTCTTGTCTGTACCCAACGTCCACAGGGTGCAGCTCAGCAGGGAATAACAGAAAGTGAAAAGGAGCTGGTTGCACCTCCCTGATCTGAGGTCCGATTCTATTGCAGCCCAGAGACCGAGCTTAGAGCAGTGATGGGGCTGCTCTAAGGTATGCTGGCTGGATTGGTTCCCCGGGTTCCTTTACACTAGCTAAGGATTGTTGGAGCACAGCAGCACACCAGTCATACCTCCGCCCACTTGTTTGCCAGATGCTATGTGGGGTGGTGACCCAGGAGCCAGAGATACTAGCTCTACGCAGGTCTGAGGACTCCTCCATGGTGAAGGAGCTGCGCAACCGGTTAATCAGTTTAGCCTCATTTTGACCTTAAAATCCTAACTCCGTTTCTCATGTTACCATTTTCCTTTTGTTTCATGCTTTTCAGATCAAATCTCCTTCTCTGTTGGCTCAAAGAGGCAGGGAGAGTTTGGTTTCAAAGTCTTTAGCTAGCATTGAAAATATTCTCATTGTTTATATGTACACACACACCCATAAATCTATTTATAAGCCGTATTTCCCAGATTTGTTTGGTCCAAACTTGAAGTTGATTTATTTGCATTGCAGATATATTTTCAGATGCCTGGACTTCTGAGTCCTTGGGCCGGGCCTGGTCATTTCATTGTCTGCACTCATCTCATAAAGCAATTGAATTAAAAAAAAAACAATTATTCAACAACCACAGGACATATACAGTTACTGATTCTAGCTAATTATGAGCAATACCACAGAGCTAGCTACACTTGTAAAACCAGTGTAACTCCATTGATGATAATGCAGTAAGGTTGCCAACTTTCGAATCGCACAAAACCGAACACCCCTGCCCTGCCCCTTCTTCGAGGTCCTGCCCCTTCTCCAAGGTCCCACTCCCCATTTGCTCCATCTCCCCTCCCTTCATCGCTCTCTGTCCCCCACCCTCACTCACTTTCACTGGGCTGAGGTAGAGGGTTGGGGTGCGGGAGGGGGGTGAAGGCTCCGGCTGGGGGGTGCTGGCTCTGGGGTGGGCCCAGAGATCAGGGGTTTGGGGCAGGGAGGGGCTAGGGGCTGGGGCAGGTGGTTGGGGAGCTGCCACTCTGTGCGAAGGCAGCGCATGGAGCCTCCCTGATCACCCATGCGTCTAGGGGCCGTAGGAACCTGGCAGCCACTTCCGGAAGCTGTGTGGAGGGGGAGGGGAAGTCGTGCCTGACTAACCTAATTGCCTTCTATGATGAGATAACTGGCTCTGTGGATGAGGGGAAAG